TGCTCTCCCTCCTCAGTGCTGCAAGCTTTTCCTCTGCCATTTTTCTATAATTCCTGGTGTTTTCACTTGTTAGGAACTGTTGTCACGTTTATATTTTTGCACATGTGCTACAGCATAAAACATGGTTTATGGAAGATCATTTGAGATAACATTGTATATGTGTAATAAGGTGCCTTAGGCATCTCTTGCACAACACGTGGAGTGTTGCTCCTTTTTATCAACCAACACAACCAACAGCTGATGGGAAAATGGGCAAAACTGTGCAAATTGCAAAAGACTGCCAAAGATCAGCGCTTACATAGACAAAATAGTCAATATACTAAAGTATATATTTTAATTGTATTAAAAATTCAAATAATGTCTTTTTGAAAAGCTGAAGAGAGTTTAAGCGTGATTGAGCTATATATGGGGATATTCAGACATGAAGAGTAGAGGGCATCTTAAAATAGTCACACCAGTGTCTGCTCTAATAGTTTGTTTGCCCTCAATATAGAACTCACTATTAAATATTGTAATAGTTGTTAATTATATTATATTAATGAATAAAGGATGTTTCTCTGTGTCTTTTTAACCGAGTTCTTCTTTTAAGTACTTTATAATAGTCCATAGGGCTAAAAGGATCAGCTGGAGCATATTCAATGATAATAAACTGATGTACACAAAAGTACATTATACCAAAACAAGATTATTTGCTCTTTTTTATGTTGGTGAGGACCCACCTGGGGGAGAATTATACAACGGTAACACATTTTTAAATTTGTTATATTGACCATGTAAATTTGTGTTTTATGATTCTATTTAACATATAAATATACCATTTGTGACATACAAGTATTTTCTTTCATCTGAAAATGTATGTAAAATATAATACTCGGTTTCTCTTTTTTCCCCACATTTTTTATATTATTCACTATTCTGTTTGTTAGTAGTGAAAAGTAATATTTTAACGTTATTAATTAATAAGCCGCTTGAAAATGAAAATCAGAAATGTATTGCATTACTCATCTTTCCAGTAAATTATTTATGCACTGCACTCCCTGTGACCATGAACTTGTATACGTTACAAACCTCTGTCTGAAATGACGATTCCTGGGGGCATTTATTGGCTAATGCACACCTTAGTGAATAATTTGAGCGGACTATGATTTAGGGCCTCAAGTACATGTACATAAAAATGTACAAAGACTTTGCAGTTAAATGCTAGTTTTTACCTCATTTTTTTTTGCCCCACCTAGAGCAAGTAGTATGTCTGTCTCATTCTTTTTAAACTCTTTTACAATATTAGTTTTTACCACTTCTATAGGAGGACCTTTTCACACATCCACAGCTCTTAGTAAAGCTTTTTTTCTTTTATTGGCAATAACAAAACCATTAACTTGGGTTTTGGTTTTGTTCTCATGTAGAATTTTTTTCTCATAGGTTTATACATACTACTATCAGATGTATTTATCATAATCTTGTTGGTATATTTGGCCAGGTATTCAATTGTAGAGGATTTTAGCCTTCAAATCTTAAATCCAATAATGGTATCCTAGAATGCACCTGGTGCTGTATCTAATATAATAGAACTGCTAACTTTTAACATTAATGATAATGTTTTAATTTGCATTCAAAGCTTTGCTAAAATTAATTGTATAAACATAAGCTTGATAGCTTTGGATCCCCAGCAAGCTGCAATAGACAAAAAAAAAAAAAAGACTTTAACATTTAAATCTTAGACTAGTCGCCAAGCCTCAGTGTTTCAGGCCATTTGATGTAAGCTATTTAATGCTCTTAGATCTTTAGAATGGCTGCTAGTACACTCTACAAGTGAGATATTGTTTGATGTCCGCTGCAAAGCACATATAATAATGTTTGAAGTGTTCAGCAAAGCTTAAAGGTGCAGTTCCTCATTTTGCCACTTACAAAGCTGCCAACTGTATATTTGCTGAATACATTCAACCATTTTCATTAATCAGAAATATTTTTAGACTTTTTCTACAAGACTCATTACAAGCATTATGGCGAGTAGTCTGCGGGATTATCGGTAACCCAAGTCACATTTTCTGACAACTTCATTAAGTGTATCATCAGAATCTTAATATGATTGTATATAATTATATTACAGAGCTAATGCAAATAGAGCCTTACGCAGCTAATACATACGTACCTTTCCTATGCTACCACATTTTTGATTGGCTTGTAGAAAATAATAGTTTTAACCAAGTATATGTACTTTATATAAGTAAGCATTACGCTCACATATAAACTATTTGTTTAATACTGCCAAGTTGGAAATTTACATTCCAACAAATTGCTCGTAGACCAATGAATGAGCGGCAGGATTGTCATCCAAAATCTGCAGCTTTACAGAAGCTGAATATTGTATCTCCTACATCGCAAAAGACCAAGTGTCCGTCAGGACCAGGTAAATGGGTAAATCATTGTAAAAAACTTTGTCCGATTAATGGGAAATGGCACCTGAGTACTCTTACTCATGGAGTAAGCCCTCAATGGTGGC